GTTTTAAATCATAGATTAATAATAATAAAAACAAATGTAATTTGAATCTAACTTGTGTTAAGAACCGATACCATTTTCCTTCTAATGGCTGATAACCAATAATAACTGATAACATGCCAGAAACAAAAGAGAAAAAGTCATTCTTCAAGTTCAAAACAGATAATTCACTAACACAAGTTATCGTGCATCCCTAGTAAAAATCATATGAATGGTGCCAAGTTTTTAAAATATTAGGATATTTCCTTGAATTTTTTGTAATTGAAGAAAAAGCATGTCACAGGCACTTTAAAGCTTCAAGTTGTCTCCTCCTGGTTGTTTCCTGTGCTGCTGTGTGTTGGTGCATGATGCTGTGTGTTGGTGCATGATGCTGTGTGTTGGTTCATGATGCTGTGTGTTGGTGCATGATGTCATGGTGAAGCAGAAACACACAGCTGCTGTTTGATGCAGACATGAAACTTATTTTTGTTCAGGTTTGCATGTCCTCCACCTGCTGGATGAGACGTTCTCTCCTCAGACCTGGAGAATGTTCTGGACTCGTGCTCCAACACACAATGACTCTGTCTCCTGTTTGTCTCCAGATTATGCTAAAGGCTTTGGAGGGAAGTTTGGTGTCCAGAACGACCGGATGGACAAGGTGAGGTGGACCTTGTGTTTTTAATGGTGTGGACGTGGGACAGTCTGGTGTCTTCATGTGTTTGGATGTTTGYCAGAGTGCTGGAACCTTTGAGGATGTGGAGAAACCCGTCTCGTCGTACCAGAAAACCAAACCTGTGGAGGCTGGTGAGCAGGCTCCTCCCTCCTCTTCATCAGCAGATCTTAAGTTAACCTGAGCAGCGCCTCACCTCTGCTGCTCGTCTCTGTCCAGCTGGCAGCAGCACAGGGAACATCAAGGCTCGCTTCGAGAACATCGCCAAGCAGAAGGAGGAGGAGGACAGGAAGCGGGCCGAGGAGGAGAGAGCTCGCCGACAGGCCAAGGAGAGGCAGGAGCAGGAGGAGGCTGCACGCAGCAAAACAGAGACGGTCAGAGAGCCGTCCCCTGTCCCRGCTGCCAGTCCCAGTCCTCCCCGCAGCCCCACCCCCCCAGTTCAGCCTGCTGAGGAGTACGAGGTGAGTTCTGAGGTCTGAGACCACCAGAGTCCAGTCTAAAACCTCCTGAGRCCAGGTGTGAGTCTGATCCAAGGTCTGCCTCCAGTATCTGCCTCCAGACAAAGCTTCAGCTGCTGAGAGCGAGGAGCCGCTGTACGAGCCCACCGACCTGTACCAGAACCCAGATGAGCCCGCTTCAGGTGAGCTGGACCTGCATCAGACCAGCTGCTGTAGTTCCTACAGAAACCTCCGACTTCATAAAGTAGTGTCAGTATTCCTGTCAAAGTCGGACCTTTCCTTGTTCTGGTCCTGGTCAGGGTCTGTTCTGACCTGTTGGATCAGGTTCTGGTTCTGGTTCTAATGTGTGTCAGGTCTGACCTTCAGCTGTTTGTTACAGACCAGCAGCAGTACGAGTACGGTGAGGACCTCGGGGTGACGGCTGTGGCTCTGTATGATTACCAAGCAGGTAAGACCACCTGTTCAGACTGGGACCACTCAAAGTTCAGAAAGTCCAGCTGTGTTAAATGGTTCTGTTGTTCTGGGAGAGTCCAGACTGGGTAGTACTTAATGCTCCCAGTCCTCCATGTTCCCAGTCCTCCATGTTCCCAGTCCTCCATGTTCCCAGTCCTCCGTGTTCCCAGTCCTCCGTGTTCCCAGTCCTCCGTGTTCCCAGTCCTCCGTGTTCCCAGTCCTCCGTGTTCCCAGTCTGTCGTGTTCCCAGTCTGTCGTGTTCCCAGTCTGTCGTGTTCCCAGTC